GGTTTTTTTTTTTTTTTTTTGGTAAGAGCTTGTCCATTGTTGATTTTAAATGACATTCCATCTCCATCCATGTTCTTTGCAATGAAAATATGATATGCACTTGTCTGGATATAGTTTAAACATCCTCCAAGAGTTCATGCGTTGGAAATTCCTCTCTGTTGTGATGTGGTAAGAAGGTAGAAATCAGTCTGACTAAGGTGTTTAAAGCTGGGGTGTGCAGGGCATGGTAAGTATTGTGTTAGACAAGTTCATCAGGGTAGAGCCCCATGGCTGAATTTAAGAGGCTTTTTAAGAGAGAGAGAGAGAGACCAAAAGAATCACACATGTGCTCCCCATCTCTTGTCATGACATGTCCTGGGCTATGTTGGAAACTGGCAGCAAGAAAACCACCACAAGGTGCAGCCCTTGACTTTGGACCAGAACTGTGAGCCGGAAGAAATCTCTTCTCTTTATCAAGTAGGCTGCTGCTGGTATTTTGTTATATGAAAGTATAGCCTGACAGTCCTCATACAAAAGTACAGCATGAAAGCCAGTTTCTCCTGGAGGCAGTGCTGTGGCTCAACTCCTGTTCTTATGGACAGGCTTATTTTAGTTTCTACGCCTTTCCTCTTGGTTAATAGCTAGTTGGCCTGGCCTAGAGAAGACTTAATAAAATTTGTAGGAAGGCTGGATTGATTGGATGAGTATTATCCATTTAGATCAGTTACACCTGATTCCATGCTCGCAGTCTTTAAACAGACAATTCAAATATATTGTTTCATTGTAACACATAAATTAATACTATCATAGTCACAAAAATGGACAGAAATAAACCTGAAATGGAAGGGTTCTTATGATTTTAAATTAAGGTATCATTTTACTGTTTGACAGTAAATAATCATTTCATTTGTAGTGAAAGAGTTTTGAGGTTCTAATAGAGAACCCATTAGACTTTCATAGGAGGGAGAAGCCTAATCTCTAATTTAGGACTGATAAAGGTACAATGACTGTCATTAAGATTTTGATCAAGAAATATCCTGTGACCGAGCATGATGGTGCATGCCTGTAATCCCAATGTTGACCCAGTCGGAACTATGTAGCAAGACCCTGTCTCAAAAAATCAACAAACAAACAAACAAAAAACCCCCATGATAAATAAACTGTCTGCTCTGGGGATTTGAGGCAGTGATATTCATTGACTAGCAAGTTTGGTACACAAAACTCATAGATGCTCTAAATATCTAAAAACTGCTTCTTTGTGTATATAATCATTTGATCTCAATTACAGAAATAAAAAAAGGTTTCATAAGCTGAGTACTTTGAATTAGTGACCTGAATTGAAAGGGCAGAATGGGGCCTGGGCATTGGAGTTAATTAATTTAGTTCGATATAAAGATATTTGAGACAATTAACTTAGTCAAATATAAAATTGAAGCCGTGCTTTCATCAGATGCTTAGGGACACATAGTTTTGTCCGTTCCCATCTTTCATACTGGTCGCTGTTGTTAAGGGGACAAAGACAATCTTGTGGTGAGCTCCTGGTGCACTAAGCATGCACGATCTCGCCTGGGATCCTGTCTGTCTCTGTCCTCTAGAGACACTCTTTATATATCATGCCTGACAACTTTGATCACTGCTTCCTTCAATTCTGGAGCTGGCCAGAGGTAGAATGAACCCTTGATTTGGACTCTGACATGGGAATAAGCAGGGAATCCTCTTGAGCCTTTAAGCCTAGCCCTTTTACCTTCAACTGTTCTGAGATCCTAAACACTGGTACCACATGGTACCCATGTAGCAATTGGATATCATTTTTTATTCTCTGACATTTGATGAATTCAGCATGACAAGGGCATTACTGAATATCCCTGTGAAAGGGTAAATACAACACAAGCTCTGAAAATCAGACAAGTTTGCATGTCTAACTTGAGCAACTTTTGTAACACAGGATTTTTTTTTCTGGGAACTGAATTATTTAGGCCTATCTGTGCCAGTTGATATATGGGAAAGAACATGTAAAGAGGAATTGGGCACTTGGCCATTTCTTATGGTTTGCTTTTCTAGTGCTGTTCAATGGGATTTTGAGTAAGTTCCTTACGGGAGTTGTGTAGCTGTGCAACCCCAGCAGAAAGGGTCTCTGCGATTGAGAAGAGTATCTGCTCTGTAGGTTCATCCTAACACAGCTCTCCTGGTCTCATATTCCAGTGAAATGCCAATAACAAAAGAGTATCTGAGCTAGCGCTGGTTAAAAAGTAGTCAAAATGTACAACCCAGAGCAATGTCTAGCACTTCACAGGGGAAAGTATGTATTTGATAAGTGAATGAAAAAAGTTTTCTGGATAAGAAAGAAGGAAACAACTTCCATTCCCCAAATCCTCCGGTGCTCCTCAGCCCTTGGTCACTACAACTCCTTGCAGTGATCTACAAGGGCCCATGTGAGATTGGCCCTAATTTCTCTTATTTTTGCTTGTCCTGTGCTAACATTTGCCTCTTTGTTGTTCCTCAGAGAAGCCAACTTCAGGACTTTTGAGGCCTTTTCTATTGCTTAATCCCACATGGGATTAAGTTTGGCTTTCCTGTGCTTATTTTCTATCTCCCTATACATAATTAACCCTTTCAGAAATAGGACTTGGTTTTGCTCACTCCTCTGTCTTCAGTTCCTAAAACATGGCCACTAGGTGATCAATAAATATTAGCTGAATAATAACAATGAATGGATCCTCTGAAAGATTTTTATCATGACCTAATTACCTTTGGACTTAGACCAAAGTTAGGCTCAAACCATGTGTAGATAATAGAAGGTAATCAAGAACAGTATTAATTCAGCCACATGAGGAAACTCCCAAGAAAGTGCTGGTAATCATGACCTTTACGTCAGAGGCTGAAAGGATAGCAGGTGAATCCTAGCCTGCATTCTAAATGATCTTGGGAGGGTTAAGGTCAGAAGAATTTCCATGGACCATAAACTTGGTGGCTTAAAATAACAGAAATTGATTCTTTCATTGTCCTGAAATCTGAGAATACAAAATCAAGGAGTCAGCGGGGCAGCAGTCTCTCTAGAGCCTCCTCAAGCTCTTGGGGGCTATTTACTTTCTTTGCCTGTGGTTAAGTCGCTCAAATCACTGCCCCCATCTGCTGCCTCTGTCAAATATTCCTCTTTTTCTTCTAAAGACACTTATCACTGGACTTTGGGACCTCCTGGATAATCTGGAATCATCTCCCCATCCTAAGATCCATAAGGTCCTTTTTCTAAATAAAATAACCCTCAGTTTTTGTGAATTAAGACATGGTTAGAAGATAGACATATATTTTGGAAGGAACCACCCTATAACCATTACACTATCCATATTAAAATTTATTTGATTAGGGCTTATATGTCACATATTTTCCGGGTTTCAGTTTGTATAACCCTAAATAATGTAGCCTTCATTTTATGAGTCTTTAATGCAAATGTTTGGTGTCAGTCATGCTTAATTTAATATAATCATTAAAGTGGATTTCCCCCCCTAGGATTTGTATATATGTCAGATGATTTGAAGAGTAGCAGCTGCTCCAGGAATGTCAAAATGACTCAAATGAAACTTAGAATCTTCTATTTTGCCATCATCTTCATGTTAATATGTGAGATCAAACCCCAAGTATCTGATGAAAGTGAATTTTTAGTTGACAGGTCACAAACAGGTCTCACTCATGTTCCCAAGGACCTGTCCCTGAAAACAACAACCTTAAATATATCACAAAACTACATATCTGAGATTCAGTCTTCTGACATTCTATCACTATCAAAGCTAAGGATTTTGATGCTTTCTCACAATAAAATCCAGTATCTTGATATCAGTGTCTTCAAATTCAACCGAGAATTGGAGCACTTGGACTTGTCCCATAACAAATTGAGGAAAATTTCTTGCCACCCTACCGTGAACTTCAAGCACTTAGATCTCTCCTTTAATGCATTCGATGACCTGCCCATATGCAAGGAGTTTGGCAACCTAGCTCAACTAAAATTTCTAGGACTGAGTGCGACACAGTTACGAAAATCTAGTGTGCAGCCAGTTGCTCATTTGAATATCAGTGAAGTCTTGCTGGTTTTAGGAGACTCTTATGGGGAAGAAGAAGAGTCTGATAGTCTTCGATACTTTAATACGAGGAGTCTGCATGTTGTTTTCCCCACAAAAAAGGAATTCCGTTTCATTCTGGATGTGTCGGTCAGTACTGCAGTAAATTTGGAGCTATCTAATATCAGATGTGTGCTACCTGACGATGAGTGTCATTTCCTAGATGTTTTATCAAAACTTCACAAGACACCAAGGCTGTCAAAACTTACGTTAAATAACATTGAAACAAGTTGGAGTATTTTTATTGCTATCATCCAGATTGGTTGGCATATAAAGATGGAATACTTCTCAATTTCGAATGTGAAACTACAAGGTCATCTTGGCTTCAGGAAATTTGATTATTCTAATACTTCCCTGAAGGCCTTGTCTATACAGCAAGTTGTCAGTGATGTATTCAGTTTCCCACAAAGTAATATCTACAGTATCTTTTCAAATATGAAAATCCAAAATTTCACAGTGTCTGCTACACATATGCTTCACATGCTTTGCCCATCCCAAATTAGCCCATTTCTGTATTTGGATTTTTCCAATAATCTCTTAACAGACATTATTTTTAAAAACTGTACAACCTTAACTGCATTAAAAACACTTAGCTTAAAAATGAATCAATTAAAAGAACTTGCAAATATAATTCTTATGACCAAGGAAATGAAGTCTCTACAACAATTGGATATTAGCCAGAATTCTCTAAGGTACAATGAAGATGAAAATACTTGTTCTTGGACTAAGAGTTTATTAAGTTTAAATATGTCTTCAAATACGCTTACTGATTCTGTATTCAGATGTTTGCCTCCCAAGGTCAAGATACTCGATCTTCACAACAATAGAATAACCAACATCCCTAAGAATGTCACCCATCTACAAGCTTTGCAAGAACTCAACATTGCTTTCAATTCTTTAACCGACCTTCCTGGTTGTGGTACCTTCAGCAGCCTTTCTGCACTGATCATTGACCATAATTCAATGTCCCACCCATCAGCTGATTTCTTCCAGAGCTGCCAGAAGATTAGGTCAATGAGAGCAGGGAACAACCCATTCCTATGCACATGCGAGTTAAGAGAATTCATCAAAAATATAGACCAAGTGTCAAGTGAAGTAGCGCAGGACTGGCCTGATTCTTACAAGTGTGACTATCCAGAAAGCTCTAAGGGAGTCCTGCTAAAGGACTTCCATGTGTCGCCACTATCCTGCAACACCACTCTGCTTATTCTTACCGTTGTGACCACCATGCTGGTGTTGGCTGCTACTGTGACCTTCCTTTGCCACTACTTTGATCTGCCCTGGTATCTCAGGATGATGTGTCAGTGGACCCAGACCCGGCACAGGGCTAGGAACATCTGCTTGGAGGAACTCCAAGGAACTCTCCAATTTCATGCTTTTATCTCATACAGCGGGCATGATTCTGCCTGGGTGAAGAATGAATTACTACCAAACCTAGAAAAAGAAAATTTACAGATCTGCCTCCATGAGAGGAACTTTGTTCCTGGCAAGAGTATTTTGGAAAATATCATCAATTGCATTGAGAAGAGTTACAAGTCCATCTTTGTTTTGTCTCCCAACTTTATCCAGAGTGAGTGGTGCCATTATGAACTCTATTTTGCCCATCACAATCTTTTCCATGGGCATTTTGATAACTTAATTCTGATCTTGCTGGAATTCATTCCACAGTACTCCATTCCTAGCAGCTACCACAAGCTCAAAGCACTTATGGCACAGCGGACTTACCTGGAATGGCCTGCAGAGAAGAGCAAACATGGACTTTTTTGGGCAAATCTAAGAGCAGCCATTAATATTAATCTGATGAATCAAGTGAAAGAAATAAATCACACATAGGGCTAAAAATATTCTTTTTGTCTATGTTGCTGCTTTTGACAATTTTAATAATGACTTTGTTTTGCATCAACATGAATCTAAACACAATTTTGAATTTTATGACTTAGTCATTTGTTCTTTTGGACCCAAGTTCACCAATTATATGTTGTAGTAAGAAATTAATAACATTATATGATTTTGATTTAAATAGTTAACTTCACACACGAAGGATTCATCTATTTCTTTGCTATAACAAAATTCTTTTAGTTTATCATGAAATCAAGAGAAACCACTTGTTTCTCTCATTGATATGTATTTCTGTGTGCTGGGTCAATATTGGAAAAGTCTGCATCTTATACACTCTAGCTGATTTCTATGGGAGACGTCATATTTGTTGGTGACCTTTGCATTCAACTCAGCATTTTCTTCTACATGTTGAAGTTGGCTTATCACTAATGCCTAAAACTTTCTGCCTGTGAAGGGTCTTTTTCCCAGCCATGAGGCCTACACAGAGGACAATTTAGAATTTCTGGAGAGTTCTTAGCAGCAGCCCTCCACCAGTGTCAGAAGGAGAATTGATTGTCTTAATGCTCCAAGTTTTGTTTTTTACCCAGTTTTTGAGATAAATCTGTGATATACTTAATAGTCTCCCTGAATTTCCCCCGTGGAATAAAACTCTGTTTTTTCCCCCAGTAGAAATAGCTTGATAAAGTATTCTTTAATAGTAATAGCATTTGGTTTTTATCCTATGTACTTGTTCTTCTATGGGTGTTTTCTGTGATCATATCTGAAATAAACTACATGCAGTCGAATCCTTGTGTCAGAGTGTGTTCCTGGGAGAACCCAAACCAAGAAGATATTTCAGCTCTGTTCAAATAGAAACTCTGAGCCGTGTGTGTGTGTGTGTGTGTGTGTGTGTGTGGTGTGGCTAGAGATCTTGATGTGATTCTAGTTGTATAAACCAACATGCACAGAAGCCTCTCTCTTTTGACCTGAAGGAAGAACATAGTTGCGATGTAATGCTTCTGTACATAGCCTCCCTCTCTTTGGGAAATGTAGAACATGAGAAGATTGATGTACTGCAATGAATAGGCTATGTAGTATATTTTCCATAATTATCAAACATCCTCTCATTTACCTTCCTACTTGGGGCTCCAGCTGTGGACAAGTGTAGACTGACAGCATCTTGTCAGAGCTGCACGGTGTCTCTCTCACTTTATTTCACATGGCTTCACTGATACCACTTCACGAAAAGGTTCTTGAAGCTTGTTCAACCATTCTGACATGTGCACAGATCTGGAAGTGCAAGATGCCCTCTGGAGCCATCCATGGCCACCACCTGGTGGAAGCCATTAGGCAAACACTCCTTTCACCTATTCTTAGGCAAGAAAGAAAGAGAGAGAGAAGGAGGGAGGGAGGGAGGAAGGAATGGCGGGGGGGGGGAAGGCAGCCTATCTGGTTCCTCAATCAGTGCCCAAAAGCACTGAGCTTTCTTCCCCAAGGGGGGCAAGCAGCTCAGAACTCACTTTTTCTTTTTCCTTATTTCACTGTTCTCATTCCCTTCTCCTGGGAGCTCTGACATTACTTCTCCAAATGAGAAACCTGCATAGAAAACTTGGTCTCAGTTTCACTTTTGGGGGTGGAGTGTTTGAGAGGAGATCTAAATAACACACGAATCCACTATGAATTTCTTGCCCTAAGGATCATACAGGGGCTCAGAGGACCTTGTATACCTAACATAACTAACATGAAAATCAATGAAACAAGAATATACAATGGTAGTCCAGAGATCATTTAACTTGGCTAAAAAATTCTTCTTAGAAATGATGATTGTTATGGTCTGGATTTTAAATGTCCCCAAAAACTCATGTACTAAAGGCTTGGTTGCCAGCTGATGGACTGTTTGGGAATGATTGAATTATGGGAGCTCTACATTCATCAGATGGATTAATCCACTGACGAGACATTTCATGAGAATTTGCCTTATTAGGAGGTGATGGAAGCTGGAGATTGGGTCTAGCTGAGGACAGTGAATCATGAGGTCATGACCTTGGGGACTGTATCTGGTCTCTGGCCCCTTTCTCTCTGCTCACTGGGTCTCTCTCTCTCTGCCCCCCCCACCTGGCTGCCATGGGGTGAGGTGTACATCTTTACTCTACCATACCCTGCCATATGATGTTTCTATTTCATCTCAGCCCAAAGCAATGGGATAAGCAAATCATAGACTGAAACCCCTGAAATCATGGGGCAAAACAAACCTTTCTTCTTCCTTTCAGTTGTTTATGTCAGATATTTTGCCACAGTAATGCATAGTTAACAGAATGATTTCTCCTTTGGGACTTGAAGGAAAACTAACTGGATTTTTCAGCACATGTTGAAGAATGCAGAGGCTGTTTTAAACAGAAAGGTAAAGACAGTAAAGGCAGGAACTTCCAGCCCTATTCTGGGACTGGTGTTCCACTCTGATTGGATCATGAGGTTTATGAAAAACTACATTAATAAGTAAGTACAGAAAATTATATTAAAGCCATATTGTCAAGGATCTTAAAAATCAATTACAGAGCTGGAACTTGGGGATGTGGGAAACATTTAAATTTCTGTGGTGGGAAGCAAATTCAGACCATGAAATATATGCTAAAAAGTGAAATGTATGCTAAAAAAATACATGAAATTTCTTACTTTATAGTGTAATTGCGAAAGTTACTATAAACTAGATTTTCCCATTTTCTCTAGGATGATTGCACTTCCTGTGTTCAACTTCAAGATTTCACAATCCAATTTCAACTGTTCAGCAAGTAGTTATAGTTAAATCTCAGGGACTACTGTAGAAAGTACCCTGAATGGGTAGCCTAGACAACCAGAATATGTTGTCCCATGGCTAGTGGGTCAATATCAAGGTGTTGTCAGGGTTGGCACCTTTTGAGGGGGTGGGGTGGGGACCTTCTTGACTCGTATTTGGCTGTTTTCTCCCTGCACCTCTTCACATCATCTCTCTATGCCTGTCTGTTTCTGGGTACAGATTTCCCTTTTTTGAAAGGCCACCAATGATACTGGATTAGAGCCCACCCTGAGGATCTCATCTTAACTGATTACATCTACAACAATCCCATTTCCAAAAAAGATCACACTCTGAGGTATGGAGGTTCAGGGTTTCAACCTGAGAATTTGGGTGGACAGAATTCAACCAATGAAAGCTTGTAAGTTGAAAAGAATCTCAGAAAAGAGGCACAAAGTCATTTAGAATTTACCCAACTCAAGATTTTGAGAAGTTAGACCAGTCCTATATACAGTTGATCTCATAAGTCGTTTTTAAGTGGTTGCTCAGAGTTTGAAATTACATCAGTGGAGTCTCCTGTTGAAGAAATTCAGGTCAAAGTATGCATAAATGTAGAGTAATGAAAGTAAGAAAGATTTCGCAGTTACCTAAGAAGCATACAGATTCAGTAACTATGTAAGCTTGGAATTAGAAGGTCTGATTTTTACTTTTATCTTCTGATTTCACTTTTATCTTCATCACTTATCTATGGATGACCTTAGATAAGTTCATCTAAGCCTAGGTTTATAAAAGGTACCCTTAGAGTAGCTAGCCAAGACCTTTAGATTTTCAAGTAAAAATTGTTTTGACCCAGTATGTCCCAAAATTATGGTTTGCATAGCAAGCTTTCTAAATTGTTCAGTTGAAGGTATTTTTTTTCTAGGGTTGAAATAAGAGGGAGAACAACTCACCTGTGTTTTTTAGGGTAAATGGAACTCATAAACAACACCATATGTCTCCTAAATTTCTCTAATGGTTTTTAATTCCTCTCAGCCTCTCCAACCTCTTTGGCAAGAAGCTGGTGGTCTGCATAAGGTTACAGAGTAGCTATCTAGTCTCTCATATCACTCAAGGAGCCTCCACCAGAACCAAGACTAACATAGTTCCATTTTTCTCAGCTTTGTATACCATGAGCATGTAACATAATGGGTATTCTATAGCATGATAACAGGAGGGCAAAGTGACTTGGTAATGTATATTGAAAGCTTTGAACTAGTCATGTTTTGCTGGATGTGGTAGTGTACACCTGTAATCCCAACACTCAGGAATGAGACAGGGGGATCATGGCTAGTTCAGGGCCAGCCTGTGTTATATAGTGAGTTCAAAGCTAGCCTGAACTACATAGCTAGACCCTGTCTCAACACTCTCCTCAAAATAAATAAAAAAATTAAATAGACATGCTTTTTTGACTGGTAGTTATGTTTTTAGAAATCTATTCTAAGGGAGAAAATGTAGTATAGGAAAGTATTCACAAGTATGTCAATTGCAGGGTCATTTACAACAGTGAAAAATTTGAAATACTCCATATTTCCACAATGGAGTCATGTGTCATATTCATGTAAAGACATGTTTCCATAGCCACTTAAAATATTGCACAGCATCAAGATGATAAATTTTATAGATGTTTTACCACAATTTAAAAATGTATAGGAAGTCTTATTAACATGGAAGAATGATTATATTATAATATGAATACAAATATGGGATATGAAATATGTACACAATGGTTTTGACTATGTTAAAATATACATAGAAAAAAAAGTCTAGTTAAAATATACAAAGCCGTAATCACTGGTTGCCTGTGCTTGGTATTCATTTTTGTTCTTATACTTTTCTGTACTTGGAAAATTTACAACCAAATATAAGGAAATGAGATCAGGAGATCGAAATTACATCGAAATTAGATCAAAATTAGATCGAAATGATAGAGACTAAAGGGGTTCGTTGTTGTTTGTTTTGTTTTTTTTGAGACAGGATTTTGCTATGTAATTTAGGCTGGCCTTGAGCTCACTATGTAGCCCAGGCTGGCCTTGAATTCTCGGTGATCCTTCTGCCTCAACCTCATAAGTGCTGGGATAACATGTGTGCACTACTATGCCCGGTGAGAATAAAGTTATCAAGCTGGGCTCATAGACATTCTGGCATTTAATCCTTGCTCAATTTCTCTGTACCTCTGTGCCTTTGTACTAACCCCTCAGCCTCTCCCAGCCTTGTTTTCTCACCTACAAAAGGAGGTACTTCTCTCAAATGGTAGTTGTAAGAAACCAATGGTAAAATGTGCAGAAAGAATTTAGGTCAGGACTGGGCTATTCACTGTAGAACATCCTGAGACACACCCCTCTCATCATGACTTCTACATCTTCCACTTCCTTCTAATGACTTTGGGTACTGAAATACTTCTCTGCCTTATCATTCTATATGTAAAATGAGAATAGTAATAATAATAATAATACCTGTTTCATGCTGTTGCTAAAGGGGTTAAATAAGTTAAGACATGGAAAATCCATAGAACAGTGCCTGACACAAAACAAAAGCTCAGTAAACATTAAGCTTATTATATTAATATACTACTGATAATTATTATGTCATTCTTATAACTGATTCTCCTAAAGCACTAAACTATGAACTAGAACTATGTCGATCCTGTTCAATTTAGATTATCATGGGCTTTCTTTTATGGCTTGCATTTAGATGTTCCTCCAAAGCCTTATGTGATCATAGGTGGGGCTTTTTCAGAGGTGGCTGGATCTAGACTGTGATGCTAGGATTGAGTGTGTGATTAGTAAATCAGTCCACTGATTGGTTTGGCATAGTTCTGGGAAGTAATAAAAGTGCCCCACTATGGATGTAAGTGTTACCTGATAAAAATATAAGGGATAAATTGACAATGTGAAATAGGAAGAAAAGGGTTAAAGGTGTAGGGAAAGTGGGAAGGGTAGGGGAAAGATAATAAGGGAAAAGAAAAAATGTGAGAAAATGAAAAAATGGAAATAAAGTGTTTGTAAATGGAGAGGGGAGGAGGGGGTGAAGGGAGGGCAGGGACAAGGGGAAAAAATGAGAACCAAGACCTGTCATGTAAAGGTACAAGATCCCAATGATGAATGTAATTGTACTGTATACCTAAAATGTATCAATAAACTCAGTGAGAGAAAAAAAATATAAGGGACAAAAAGAGGGCTAGTATGGTTACTTGTTGCTTATTGCTTGCTTGCTTTTTCTGTCTTCTGCCTGCCATGAACTGTTTCTCCTCTGTGATGCCCCTCTACCATGCCACTCTGTCTTGGAACTGGCCAACTATGAAGTGAAACCTCTACAAACTGTGAGCTAAATGATCCTTCCCTCCTTTAACTTTGAGTGTCAGGTATTTTGTCTCAGGAATGAGAAAAAGTAACTAAGACACTTTCTAAATTTAACTACTTAAAAAGTGGAGACTCATCTGTATTAAGTGAAACAACCAAATGAACAAATAAACTAATCAACTAAACATTGCAAATGGAGAAATAAGAAACTAGGAAGTAAACTGGTGACAAATACAACAGTTAAAGCTTTACATGCACACAGAACAGAATAAAATGGAAAAGTAGTATGACCCCAACTGATATATTGGAATGGATATGGACAGTTCAAAATAGGAACTAGTAAGAAGACAAATATAAAAAAATTTGGGCATTATTCATGCATCCCAGGTTTCTCCAAGCTTTCTCATTTTGGAGTTACTTCCCTTTCTTTTTAATGAAAATCATTTGAGTCCCCAATGTGCATGTTACTGGAAAGTGGCCCCTCTGAAGATTTCAGAGAATAGCTGAATTTCCTAGCTCTCCAATCATTACTTCTTTTGGATCCTCTTCTGGTGGCTTCTTATTACTTTAGGCCAGTTCACACTGCATTCCTTGCCTGTTCCAGAGCTTGTGGTGGATTTTGTATTAGTCAGCTTTTCCGTTGCTGGACACAATACCCAACATTCACACCTTAAGGGAAGAGAGGTGTATGTTGGCTCATGCTTTTCAGAAGATTCAGTCTTTTTCCAATGGTGCCAA